AGGCAGTTGCGACAGTAATTTGTGTAAATTTTCTTATGAGTGTTTATCTTTGTATGACCACTGACTTTCAAGTATAATATTATTTGAAAGTATGTATGTTTTTGAATCTATATATTGAATTTATTTTTTTAATAATACGGAGTTTTGTCTAATTGTACTAATATTCATTATATATGTTTTCAGCGAGTGCCAAGTTATCCAAGATATTAATGGAACGAAATATGACACTAAGCGAATTAGTGGAGCATAGGGAACGTGGATCTAGCCATGTGCATTTGGCTGACATATTCCACAATGCATCTCGGGAACCTAACCCACCAGAGCCGTTCTTATCTAAGTCTCTTTTAGAGCCTATATCAAAAGAGACTTATCCATTAAGGGCTCTTCTAGATGCGAATTTACATGATCCAAATACTAAAATAACTACAGAAGAACCAACCATGATAAATAACGTACATATTCCTGTAGTAATGGACTACCGTAATAACGTTAATGAAAATGCAGAAAACATGGGCATTATGTCTTTATTCAATAACTTCACCAAGTCAGGGAATAAAAGCACATCAATGAAAGATTCTGAAGAAAAAACTTATAAGACAAGTATACTCACCATTGATATCATAAATGCAACTAACGTTAGCGAAACAAACAGAGAAGGTCGAGTTCTGAAAGTTGATCAAACCGAAAGTCAAGACGATGTTGTTAGTTGGAATGAAATATTCTCCTTGATGGGAAGAAATCACAATAACGATACACCTTCGAACAATTTGGAAGGTAAGAAAATTACAAATATAAATAATTATTATTAATACTAAAAAAATACGACAAGCCAATGTAATACTAAATGTTTCCATTCCAGGACTCAAGGATCCAATAAAACCGTTCAAGAAAATACGATTAGATGAAGACGCAGACGGCGACGGTCTGATCGTATTGGAAGACCTACAACATCTCACTAACTTTGAAAACAACATTGCATCGGCATCAGATGAGAAAATAGAAATAAATCCATATGAAAGTAGTGATCCTGTGCACGCATCAGGTATTCTAGATAAAATACCAAGTCAAACTAAATCTGTGACCGTTGCTACGGCCAGTATCGCTGGATTAGCAATGGTTTTATTCTTATTAACTTACGCGATGTTTAAATGGAAACAGCAGAGATCGGTTATAAGGAAAAAGCGCAGTTTCGGTGACGAGCGCATTCCGACGCCAGTATTCGAGAATAGGAAAGGTCACAAGAACAACAGTAGTACACGCAGTATTAGTCCAATGTTGCAAACAACGAATATCTACACATTAAACACGTTAGACTCACAGAACGGCAAAGATTCACCAGACTACATGTGGGACACTTTGAGAAAACCATTCCAGTAGGAAATATTAAGTTATTGATAAATTTTCGAAAGAATTGGTTAAATTAGTTTAATTACACTGTAATATATTTAGTTCAATGGGTGTTTTCTGCAATAATAAAGTATTATGAGATTTTATTTAAATCGAAAATTGTGGAAAGGGCTTCATAATTTAAACTAGTGACCTGATATTGATTAAGATTTTTATAAAATAGATCAATATTATTTAAAAACATTGCTCAATATTCACAATTAACTTGCACTGCTGTTTCAAATAACTTGTTTTAGGTAATTTTGCAAGAATTTTAGTTTTAGGCCTGGATAAAATTTGTATAGTGCGATATTGGTTACTACCGACTTACTGAGTTATTGATTGATAACTTCAATATGTTCAGTTGAATCTTAATTTATTCGTTTTCAGTATTATGCTATAAATAAGTGCAATGTGACATATCAAAGACATTTTTGAGTGTTTCTTATTTTTATAGTGTTGTCTTAAAAAATAAATTAATTAGAATAATTTGTTTAAATGTTTATTTTACTTACCTGTAGCTGTCGAAAGTAAATACTTCTTGGAGTTTTTTTAACACTGGTAAGTCCATTAAGTGGATAATGTTGTAAAAGTATGCATACTGCCTTGCAATGCTTCTATAGAGTTTCAACGCTGAATCAAACACTGGTGACGGCTGGAAAAGTTTAACAATAATGTCAATAGATTATACATAAAAGGTAAAGCTTGGTGATGAACTTAAATAGTTTTAAAGAACAAAACTATTTAAGAAATACACAAATTATAATGTAAAAGTTCAGGGAATCTTCAAACTTACTCTTGTAATACAAATTATCATTTACCTTGAGTTCCGCTAGCTCTTCTAAAGTGAAATATAGAATTGTAGGATATTTATCAGGCAATATATCGATATATGGCTTCCAAAAAGATTCTGAAACACATAATAATGTTGATGTAGTTGACGCACTATGAACCTAAACTAGGTGGAAGGGTCATTTTTGAAATCATCTAATTGATCAAACTATATCTAAAAAATCAGTTGGGCAAGTTTACTGCATAACAATAACATAGTACCTACCTAAACAATTCCAAACCATGTAATTTTGAAATTGATGTCTATTCATGATGATTCATATCAGAAGTAAACTTTGTAAAGCCAAGTAAGGGTTTAAGAGTAGATTAAAACAATTGGGATTTTAAGTTAAACTGTCAAACACCAAGCGGTGACCGCAACCTATTGTTCTATAATTGTGTCTATAATGACTGTACTCAATGAGTTAATATAGAAAAAAATGTAAAGAAAGAAATACTTACTCGGATCATTCTTTTCTAGTAGCAGGAACAGGGCGAGTGTTATATTTGGCATGTTTTGCAACAACGGATCAATTTCTATGAAGCTTCCTAGCTCGGACTCTTTAGCATTCTTCTCTGTCATCATTAGCTTTGACGGCACAGTCAGAAGAAGTGATCCCTCCTTGAATTCCTTTGTTGCTTTCAAACCAAACTCATATCCTTCAAACTCTGCTAATTCAATACCTGTAATGATGTGTAATTTTTTGTTAAATATTAATAGGTAGTATTCAGAATAAGTGAAAATTTATGAAACTATAACAAGATTAAATTTTAATGTTTACTTTTTTATTTTATAATGATATGCTAAGTGAAAACATGGAATGCTGATTCTATGTTAAATTTTCTGAATAATATTTTTTTATCTTTCACTTTTCTAATACATTACAAAATTTTCATAAAATGTTGATTACAATCATACTTCATGACTTGTCTATAGACACATTGATTAGATTACTTTATAAATAGTTAAGTTTAAAATTCAGTACAAGTGCAAGCTATTAGTTTGTGTCATAATTTACAATTGACTCATATTTTATGACTTCCTTTTATGTAAGGTATTATAGAACTCACTGTCCATTTAAGTTATAATGATGGATTTCCATCATATTTAGGAAGAGATTTATCGAAAACTGTAAGCAATCGTTATTGTTAAACAATAACTCCCGTCTTATTAGGTTGACAAACAGGAAAATAGAAGTGAATTTTGGAGAATTAATCAATATTTGCTGCACTAATGATTTATGATAGTTCCCACTTACCGTCAAGTTGCACCTCATTCTCACTTAGCCACTTGTTAAACTTATCGATGTTTGCATGCCTGCCCTGGCCACTTTTAGGCTTAGGACCCTCTAGATTCAATATTTCTTTAATGAGAACATCAATTTCTAAATGATGCTCCCAACTTTTTATCACATTTGTCGAAGCCTGGAATACTCTCGTCAATCTCAACACTTTATCCACAAGAACTGCTAATTCTTTGCGTTTTTGTTGAATGAACTTATTGTTTTCCTTCCCTGCATTCTTCTTAGGATTTTGTTTTGATTGAGATTTGCGGCCCATACTGTCCAAAATGCTGGCACTTCAAGAGGTAAAACTAAACTAAAAATATAGAAAGTAACTTAATCTAAAACGTGGGAATAATATACGCTAAAAATAGGTTCCTAAAATTTTGAAATGTTTTCCTTTCAAAAGTGAAAGATATATTTTGACGTAAAGGTTGTTATACACTGAGGGCTGGTATGTCTCTATAATGTTTGAAAAAGAAACACATACTTACCTAATTTGAATTCTCTTTTTGGAGCACAGTTCACACTTAAGCAATTTTCGATGTCTTCTAATTACAAGTATTATAGTAAAAGGTTCTGTTCTGATTGCATGATGATAATAATTATTCGAATGTTACCTAGATAATAACATGACAGCAATTAAAAACAACCTTCAATTTTGTAACTACCTTCCTAATCCTCCTAAGTAATGACAGAATGGAGCTACCTACTTAAGTAGGTAATGATTACATATTTTATTATAACGTAGGTATTCGGTATTTTTGTTAAAAGTTAGAATTGAAATTATTCTTGACAAAATAATGAATTTTCTCTCAAAAAATACTGTAGGTACATACTCTTATTGAAATATTAAGACCTCTGCAAGCAATGACTCCTTTTTAACTTTATTAATTATTTAAGTGATTTCTATTTTATACTTATTACTTGAATGACATTTTAATCATTAAAACCCGTTTTATTAAACTTATATCTAATGTAGACCCAACCTTATAATTGCGTTCCAAGTACGACCCGGCGAATATTGTCACATTTTTAGCATAAGATATTTGGAGTAAAGTTTCAATTAAACTGCAACTAGTATTCTTATTATTTACTCTTATTGAAAACTATTGGTGAAATAAATGTTAAAACTATTAAATAAATGATTAAATATTAAATATTTATTATTAGTACAATTACCAAAACTAAGAAAACCAAAAACGCAGTCTAATGGCATATGGCACATGGCGCGAAAAGTTTAAAATTAAATCATCAGTTTTGCAACTTTTGTTTTTTCGTAAGTGCAAAATTACCTGAATTATTGCATTAAAAAAAATGTAAGTTGTGATAAATCGTAATACATTACGTTACTATTGGGAAAGTAGTTAGGTAAGCAGTACTTAATTCAAATATGTAGGTTAAGAACGAACTTTTATTTATTTATGTTTGGTTTAAATATATAAGTGGGAGCAATTTTCCTGTGATAAATGAATATTTTATAGTAACATCACGGTTGATTAGGCATTGATAAAGAACTAACTTCGTCTGGCAATGACAGTGGTGCAGCGAGCACTTGGCAGCGGTGCGACCAGTTCCCAGAAAAGTTATTTGAAATCGCCCCACTTTTGGGGCCAGAGAAAGAATTGTTCTGTATATTAATGCCGTTGCAGAATGTTGCATAGTTGCAGTAAATTATTTAATTAATCGCTTTAGCTAAATGATTTGTTGATTGTTCTGTGATAGGTAAAGCCACCTGTTTTTTATTTATATTTATTTTTTAATATATAATTATAATTTTTTATTTATTTAACCACATAGTCTAGCATTTAGATAATTATATAGGTATGTATCCAACTTACAGTAGGTACAGAAATGTGCATATTATAAGAAGGGTAGGTATCTACCTACTTAGGTTGCAGGTACCAGATACCTACACAGTTTGAACGATCAGCTAGTCGATATTCCCCCGAGCTTTTCTCAAGCTGGTAAATAGGTAGTAGGCAATAAATCTTAACCAGGTTCAGGAATATCTGTTTTGAGTGATTGCCATATGCCCTACACATACACAACGTTCTTTGTGTTCACTTATCTAACTAGATAATTAGAAGCAAAAGCAACGTGGAAGTTTGATTTTTATAATAACTATCTTGAGACATACTAAATTAACTAAAATCGCGGGTTACGCACGTAAATATACTGAGAAAAACTCTACTAGTTTCGAACAACAGAGGTGTTCTTCCCCATGAGCAGCGTGCGCGGTCGTGGCGACGTCGCGCAGCTCACGGTGAGTTAATTTGTAAGTATAATGATTAGATGTGATTCACCAATCTGATGCATTTTATTCATGCTGACATAATATTTGGAAGTAGGTATTCGTGCATAATTTTATCATTTTAATCTCTTTTTCGCCTATAATAGCCACCTGTATACCTACCTACAAAATTAATCAGAAGAGTAAGTATTTATTACAGTTAGGTAGGTAGGTACACTTATTTTCATTTTCGTATAAAGATATCAACAAGGACGAAAACTATTGTGTCCTTATTTGTATTCATAAGTATAGGTGGTATCGTATCGTATTGTAGTTTCCGTGAACACTCAGTAAAAAATGTGTAAGTTGGTAAGTATTCTATTGCATAGGTACCTACCTACTCAAGCTGAAAAAACCTCATGGATGCCGTCGTATGGAGAAGTTGAACCTACTGACTGACCGAAAACCACTAACAAAGTAAATTATTGTGCATGTGTAGGTACATAGGTAAACACGTGTTTTAAAAAACAGCAGGTACCTACTTATATGTCACGTCACACTGCTAAGAGACTATCTCACTTATATAAGACTAGCTGACCGGGCAAACTTCGTACCGCCTAAAAAATATTTTTCTCACCTTTTAAACCTTCCCTGGACTTCCACGAACATTTCAAGACCAAAATTAGTCAAATCGGTTCAGCCGTTCTCGAGTTTTAGCGAGACTAACGAACAACAATTCATTTTTATTTATATAGATTTACTGTAACTTCTAATAGGCCGTAAGTTACTACTTGGGTAGGTACTTATTTACATACCTATCTTTTAAGTGTGGGAGAGCCATGCTTCGGCACGAATGGACCCGCTCAACTGAAGTCATACCACGGCCTCACAGAAAACCGACATGTAACAAGGTTTGCTTTGTGTTTCGTCGTGTGAGTGAGGTTACCGGAGGCCCAATTTCCCCCCCTACCCAATCTGAATTCCCGAATCCCCAATAATCCTCAAATTCCTAGTCTCCAAAAGGTCGGTAACGCACTCGTAACTCTTAACACCTCTGGGGTTTGGATGGCAAGGGCGGCGCCGATTGCTTACCATCATGTGATCCGATTGCTCGTTTACCGGCTCATTTCATAAAAAAATATTAGGTACCTATTAATATAACAGGTACTTACAAGTTATAAATAAATTTTGACATCATCACACTCATATCAACATGTAATAATAATATATCAAATGTAAAATCTTACAATGTTATTTATACCAATTGCGATTAGGTATAGGTATTAAGTTATTTACTTCATATACTCGTCTTCATTGAAGATAATGAATCATTTTGTATCTCATACAATTACTTTATATAATTATCTCCTTATACGTACATAAATTAAGTTCCTTGGATGGTGCGGCGTAATTAATGCGAATATGTCTTTATCTTAATAGTTATAATTAATCTGTATCGAAGAAAAAATGTATAAGAATGTTGGGTATTTATTACTCATGAAAGACGAGGAAAATAATTATTCAACTATTGAAATTATAATTTCACGGTTATGTTTAGTTTGTTATCACGTAAATATCTAAATGAGAGATTAGGGTTGATTTAAAAAAAAAAACGTTGCCCCACACTGATTTTCTCCTGTCTCGTGGTACATACACATTTGAATTTGATTTGAATACTTGAATAGGGATGCGAAAAATGTGCTTTCGTCTGAAATTTTGGATAAAGTTGAAGTCGAGGGACTCTTTTCCATTGAGGACAAAGGGTTATTGACGGTTGTTAAAAAATCTTCGAGAACCAGCTAGAACTTGAATCAACTGCGTTACGGGGTAGTCTTAGAGCTCTTTGTGCCGCGGGCCTGCGGATGGCGAGCATGGGTGGCTCGCCGCCCCACCAGAACCAGACCCGAGCGTACGGCGCGTCGCGTTCTGCGCGCGCCTCAAAGAGCCATCAGACTACCACTGATAGGGCCCAACAAGGCTGATGCCGATTCGGAGTCGCGGAGAACGGGTTACCGGGGCTCCGGCTGCAAGTGCAGGAAAAGGAACGGGGAGGTTTTTAGTCAGTAAGAAGTCTGACACGCCCGCCTCACCCAGGCGGGAGCAGTAATTCGATGATATCCCCCTTTTAAAAAAAAGACAGCTTTGTGCACTATTCAATATTTAGGTTATCTATATCGACAAAAAAGTGATCTGTGGGTAGACCCTCGTATTCGCAGGCCTTAAGAGGTCTTGGAAGGTGAATTTGTTACTTAGGTATACCATGCATGTCTATATCTTATTAAAATCAACAATAATGACAATTTAATTTGGTACATGACATCAGGTTATGCAATTTACCCATAACAATACTAACTAATAACAATGAAATTATTATTTACGACCTACAAATATTTCTAAGAACGCATTGTGTTTACCATGTTAAGTTATTCAAATCTATTCCTTCAAGGAGTCATTAAACAACAGCTGTCAACCAAGAAGCTAAAATACTAAGTACAAAATGATTGAGATCTAAATGATGTTGTTACAATATTATTTACTTAATTGTTCTCTGAAACCTCGTTCTAGGGACAGCAAATGCCAATAACGGTTACTTATTAGACAAGCCCAATGCAGAAAACAGAATTTTAGTTCACTTCCTTCTATTTTCTTCTGCATTAGCAATGAAAAGTTAGGAGCTGACACGGGATGATAATATACTATTAACTTAAATTTAACAGAAAGGAATTCATACAATAATTTTTGTGTTCAAAATATTTCTTGAAAATGATTGCAGGATCTGTAGACTCTGTAGGCGTAATGGGCGTTACGATTACGACTATCCATAACGAACCAAGGATGAACCTGAAAATAAAAGCTATTTACTACGTATATAATCTTTTGAAGAACCAGCCGAGTAACCTGTAAATTGTGTATGGCCATAAGTAAGACCAATAAATTGGGGTAAATGACCATACAATAACATTTTTGTAAGACCTAACATTTTATGAGGCATAGATTGTTTAGCTTACAGCACATTGGTTTGTATTAGTCACGCTCGCCATACTAACATCCTTGTGTAAACGAACAAAAAATAAAGAACACGACTTGACAAAAGTTAGATCATCTTTGCCTGTATCAGATATATTTTAGCTTCCACATGATCCTATTATTCAATTTTTAAGTCGGACGAC